TTGTTATTAACATGATTCTTATTAGAAATACTTAGGGAAAAGACATTGGTCCTGGTTATCAGTTAATGTCATTTTATAACTCTGTCTTATACCTTGTTTTCCATTCTCTGAAAAATGTAACTGAAGTAGGACTAGAAATGAATCCTCTTCCAATCAAGATTTATGCACTACTCTCTTTTTTTATTACTTTTATTGGGGGCTCTTACATCTCTTAGCACAAGCCATACATTCATCCAGTGTGTCAAGCACATTTGCACATATGCTGCCATCATCATTTTCAAAGCATTCTCCTCCCACTTGAGCCCCTGATATCATCTCCCTATTTCTTCCTCCTCCCTCCCCTACCCACCCTCCCTCAAGAACCCTTGATAAGTTATAGATTATTATTTTGATATCTTATGTAGTCCTCTGTCGCCCTTCACCCACTCTTCTGTTGTTCATCCCCCTAGGAGGGGTTATATGTTGATCCTTGTGATTGATTCCCCTATTCTCTCCCCACACCCCCTAATCCTCCTGGTATCTCTACTCTCCTTGTTGGCTCTGAGGGGTTTATCTATCCTGGATTCCCTTTTCTTATCTTTGCCCAAACTATTCTCTTTTCTTTTGTCTGAGTATTTTCAATAAGTAAAAAAATAATTATTTTTATAAACTAAATAAGTTTTAATAAGACTTATACTGACAATGGCTTTAATAAGATACAAATATTTCCGAAGCATTTATTTGATCTTTTTTTCAATTCAATGACTTGGGCTGGGATTTGATTGATTTTTATTGGTACAAAGATGTAATGTTGTCTTCTTTTACTTAGGGTAGGAGTGGAGTAGGGTGGAGTTAGGAGAGCCAGCCATGGCTTCTGGAGTATGATTAGATGCCAATTGGTGGAAACTTGAGTGTTTGTAGTGCTTTTCAATATGATTACATAGTAAGGAGAAAAATGTCCAAACCTGGCAGATGAGAAATCATTTTTCTCAAACCACGTAATAAAAAATAAAAATCCAGAGGCATTTTGATTTTAGTTGGCTGTCATACAGCAGGGATATTCAAGGTATATTTGGGGATTTTGCACCAACTTAAGCCAACTGCAATTTAGAGGATTTTTACCAAAAGTTGTGCACTTTTTGCTGAATTGAAAAAAGAGAGATAAATTTACAACAGTAAAATAAAAACAAGAGCTGCTGTGGCTGCTTATATACAACTGAGCACCTCATGGAATTTGTTTTGGAGGCTTAGTTTTATGGTCTCTTGGGACATCTCGGTTCGTTGGTCTAACAGTGTTTTCAGTGCTTCTGTTCCTTCTCTTAGTTCGTTGCGCAGGGCTTTAGAAAACTTGATAGCAGCTATTGGAGGCACAACAATTGGTTTCTACTCACCGGGAGCAATGGATGAAGAAGGAGGCTATGGATTGTGCAGTTAATTACCTGCATGAACAGCTGCCTCTGTTGCCAGGAGACCCTGAAGAGAGGGGTGATGCCTGGGTACCATTATTGAATGTTCTGAACAAAGAAGCGATAGATGAATCCTGGCCAAACAGAAGAAAATACGGTACACAGTGGAAATGTTGCATAGATTCTAGACACCTCGGACTAATGAAGTTTGAATGAACCCTTGACATTTTTACCCTGAGAGAATCTTTAAACCGAACCAAAACTATTTCCCAAATTATTTCTAAGACCAACCACCACTTTAGCTTCATTAGTCAAAAAAAAAAAAAGTGCCTTGATCATGCTGCTCTTTTAAACTAATCTCTATGGAGCCAAACTGACACTCGCTGCCACTGAGTCAATGCTGACCCACAATGCCCATGCGGGTTTCTGAGATGGGAACAGTTCAAGGGAGTAGAAAGCCCAGTCTTTCTCCGGAGGAGCTGCTGGTGGGTTCTGATTACTCACCAACCCAACACTAGACACTCCAAAGAGTAAGGAGGAACCCAGAACCCAGCACCCACCTCCCGCCCCCTCCTCCCA